GGTATGAACTTTATGCTCACTATCACCCCTAGCGGTGAGGCACAGATACCGCCTGCCTCACGCCAAGCTTTTTCCTTGTGTGTTCATCTACGATCAAAAGACTTAAACTAAATATAAATTGTACACACATACGTGCAATACACTACTAAACACTAAGAGGAGTTTAAAAAATGTTTTTAAAGCAGGATATTTGAAACAAACGGTGATATATCAACTGCACGAGCTGAGTGCACTCAGACACACACACACACACACACTGTGAGGGAGCGGTCTGAGGTGAGGCACGCAGGAGCGCTGCCTCACCTCGTCTCTTTGAATAGGAATAACGGGATTTCGGCGATTTTGACTTCAGAAATGATCAAAACTGATGGGAACCGTGCCGAATATACATTAAAAGCATAGGACAGTGGATATAAATTATATATTTAAACTAAAATAATTATTAGTTTCCAATAATGGCAGGGGAGGCTCTGCCTCCCCTGCCTCCCCTGACTGCACGTCCCTGTCTTATACGTAGTAATAGTTGAGAGACTGTGCTGTTTCCACAGTGAGTGAAGTGTTTGGGGTTTCAATCTGAGGTTCTTCTGTGTGCTGAATCATCACAGTAGCATTTGTCTGTCTCTCTGAGTTTGTTTATGTCAAATATGTAAACTTTCATTTGCATATCTCAAATGTCACTGTGGCAGTGCGCGCCCTGCACATGTCAACAAAAAACTGTATCAAACATTCACTCAGAGCAGAGCGGGCCGCTGCTCGAGTGTTTACCCAACAACAAGAACAAGAGCTGTTATCTAATGCTCTAATGCTGCTCGGCCAGACACAGCAAACATACACATGTGTACGGCTGAGGAGCGAGGGGCACGCCACTCACTGGTCGCTCAAGGTCAATGTCAAATGTATTGCTGGATTTAGAAAAAGATTTAAAAAAATTAAATAAAACAAAAGCATTTCTATAAACACTTTTGTTGGGTTTTGTTACTTTTGTTTTTGAAGTAGCTCTTTTGCTTTGAAATATCTGAAACAGTCAAATTCCCTCTGGGCAAGCAGGGAAATTAACATATAAATCCTGCATCTGTGCAATAATACATTTTATAATGTCAGAATGTAAAATATAGCTTTACTGAGTCACTTCGCCCCAGACCCTCATGCTGCTCACATGTACAGATGTAAACACACAACTACAGTATATATTACTTGCACTAGAATATACAGCATTTTATACTTGCTCCTTATTATACTAAAGTCAGGGTTTTTTGTACTTAAGTCTTGCTTCTTCATCATGCTTCAGTTGGAGATTTTAGACTCTTTTCCTCATCATGGTAAAGATAGAGATTTTATACGGCTTCTTTTTAAGATTTAAAGATTTTGTTTGTTTTTTTAACATAAAGTTATTATTCATTTATCTTGTGCTGCTCCCCATTCCGACAGTTCTGTTACTTGTGATGCAACATTTAAATTTCCCCAAAGTGGGACACAAAAAGAATCTCTTCATCTCTTCATCATAATCACTCATGCCGTTGATGCTGACTATACTCAATCTAGCACCTCTGTGGATCTGTGAAAATGACTGCTGTCTGCCATGAAACAGCTTCATGAATGGAAAAATAAGGACGAGATTTCTCGTCAGGCACCTTCTGCTGGAGTCTTAAAGGTTGGAACGTGGCCAGAATTCTAAATCTCTAAAAGGAACGGCCCGAATGATTAGTGCTGAGTCCAGGCCAAGGAGAAGTCATTTGTGTGTCTATCAGCCATCGCAGTCAAAGTGCCCGATCACTCTGCTCAGCTTTCACCAGATTACTGTCATTTTTCAATTATGCTAAATCTTCCCAAAGCAGAGAGACCGGGAGCGGGACAGCAGACGTCTACAAAAGTCCTCACGGCTGCGAAGAGGCGCTCTCTAAAAGTAGGCGCACACTAAGAACACGTCCTTCCTTCCTATAATAATGACAGAAAATGGAAAATAACCATGTCTTCCTCTTCTGCTGATGGAGAGATACGGCGAGCACCATCAGTAACCACTTTTAAATCACTTCAAAAAACCCACTTTTATTGAATGGCTTTTCTGTTTTAAACTCTACATGTTGTATTTTACTGTTCCACATTGTCTTTGTTTTATCTTTCTTATTGTGTGCCGTCTGTTTGCGTTTTTTCTCTCTGTTTTCTTTTTGATATCTTTTATTATTATGGGTTAGGGTTAGCGTTATGCTAGGTTTTATGCTGACTGGAGTGCTTTGTAAACACTATTTGAACACAAAAAATTACTATAAAATTACTATACAAATATTATTGAAATTATTATTAAAATTATCATGAAATTATGTTATTCAAATTACTATAAAACATTAAAATAACTATAAAACATGATTAAAATAACTATAAAACATGTATTATTAAAAATATTATAATATATTGTTAAAATTATTATTAAATATTATTTCAATTATTATTAAAATTATTAAAATACTATTATTAGCTATTTAGCAATGAACAAGGGTCCTCAAATGATATTAATTGATTGCATTTCTATGTCTATGTCATCTATGTAATTAAATAACAATTAAAAACATCAGCTCAATCAGCAAAAACCGGCAAAGGCATATGGAGAAAATGTGGTAAGAATCGTGGTAAGAATCGTTATAATAGTTACAGAAAAGTTTGGATTGAAGCAGTAAATGATTGCAGCTCAGCAACAATTAGCCGAGTATTTAAAAGTGCTTCATTTAGAGCAGTACACAGAGATTCCATAATGAACTTTTAATGAGTGATGAGCTTTAAGTCTGCATTATAACTGTATAAGAATAATGAACAATTTAAAGAAATTGAGAAGAATTTGTTCCAGAAAGCAGACATACAAAAATTAGCAATCTTTATGCCGTACAATGCTCTTTTGTCTGAATATCCTTCACTAATTAGGAATGGGCCGGTGAAATCACAGAAGTCTTTTGGATCTGTGTAAGTGAAGCACACCACACACACTCACAGGCCTGTCTCAGAGCAGTCACACAGACACTTATAATGCACTGGTTTCATTATTTAGCGCTTCTTTTTGGACACTCAAAGACGCCTCAGATGTCATTATTGCTTCTTGTTATTCCAAAGGTAGAGATTTTATAGGTCTTTATTATGCTAAAGTCAGATTTTTGCACTCATTGGCCCTCATCTATGAGACTTGCGTACGGCCAAATCAGGGTGTAAATGCAGCGTACGCAAAACTTTTCTGCATTTATTAATCTGGACGTGGGCGTACACAGAATGTTCACCGAGTCTAGAGGTGGTGTAAATGTGTACGCTCATCTCAACCTTCATCACAACATGCCAAAAAACGCATGAAATGCGAGATTTGGACAAAAAAAAAAACATATTCCCACTCTGGTAAAATTATAAGATGCATTTTCATTGAGCATCAAGTTTCGAATTTTGAATTTGCCCATCAGAAACACGCACATTTTGAATAAATCAAAGCTCATGATGAGGACCCTTGTGTGTATTATTTTCACCTGTATGTTTTTTTAAATGTGAAGCATTGTGATCCTGGTCTGTGAAAGGTGCTATACAAATACACTTGGCTTACTTACTTAATGTGTGACCATACTATTGTTCTGTAAATCTGTGGCAGACCCTGCGCTGCTTAATTACACATATAAACGCAGCGATGGCAGAGATATGGCAAAGCGCTTCTCTGTGGGAACGGGATCACGGGCAGTGGCTCTTTGGGAAGTGTGCAGCGGGTGCCACGACAGGTCCAACCGCATAACTCGCCATTAGTAGTGCACGTCATTCAGACGTTTTGGATCCAGAGTTCCTCTGTGAAATCACAGACACTTCCCAAACTCAAACACATCCTTTCTCTCTCACAGAGATCACTCCATTGCATTCACAAGAAGAGGCCGCTGACGCTTGACTTGGTTAATGATGAGAGCCACCGCTGAGATATTAATATTCCTTCATTCTTTCATTAATTCATTCATTTCTAAAGTTCAAGAGGATGAGTGCTGCAGTGGGTCTAGACACTAGGGAAAAAAAACGCATATATAGTGTTTTTGTTTTGTTTTTGTTTTTTAACAAAATAGTAAAATAAAACTCAATATAAACTATAAGTGCGTGTCACTAACAGGTCTTTTGAGGGTTCCAAATAGTCTTTCTGGCCGACTTCCTGCTGACCTGTCGTAAAAACGGGGCGTGAAACAGGCGGTTTCTGAATATTTCTAGGCGTGACTTTCATAAATACGCTAGTTTTCACCTCAGCATTTATTAACAGCCGCAGCTGCGTACGCTCAGATCTGGGCGGATCTCACAAGTTCATAAATACCGCGTTGGATATTCATTTATCTTGTGCTGTGTGCTCCTCATTCCTGCTGTGATGCAACACTGACATTTCCCCACTGTGGGACAAATAAAAGATCTCTTAAATTAATCTTAATTTATTCTTTCACTCCATACACGGTGCTGATAAACTACTATCTAGTAAAAAATCTAGATAAACTACTACTAGCTGCCCTGGGAAACAGGGCAACCAGTATGTGCCATCGGCCCCTTCGCCTACCACCAATTATTCACGTACACAACAGCAATATGGGTGAGGTGTCGTGCCAAAGGACACAATGGCAGTTTAGCACTTTACAGCCGCAGCCACCTCACTGTGGCACCTGCTGTTCCCAGATGTCTCCCATCACAGTACTAACCAGGCCTTGCCCTGCTTAGCTTTAGAGGTCTGACGAGTTTTCTGTCTTTTATATGGCCACACTTAGAAAATATCCGAATATAACATTATTATTCAGCTGCAAAGGATGGATCATATTGAATGTCTATAATAACATTTCTGAATTACATAAAGTATCTGTCATTCTAAAACAGGTGATGGATGAGGATTGTGATTGTCCTGGTTTATTCAAGCGATGAGAACGTGAGCATAAAGAGAACAGAAAGAAGCGCCCGGACCATAGCTGTGAGGTGTGAGCGGACGTGTCACGATGATGCAACAATAATGTGTGCAGACTGACCACTCCGTAGGCCACTGTGTCGCTGTAGGAACGCAGCTCAGGGTAGATGTTGGACAGGAACCAGCTGAAGGGCCGACACTGCAGTCTGGAGCGCAGGGCTTTCCTCTCCGAGATGTTCCCAATGTCAATCCCTGAGTTCTGACAAATATCAAACAGTTTGCATTCTCATTATTTCACATATTTGTAAAACACGATAAAAATTTGATATACACAATATACACAAGACAATTTTGTCATAAAAAACTGATGATTTGTAGTTTTGTTTTATGCACAGGGGAACTGCAGATTTGGTCAATTTGACATAAAAGACCTCTGTAAAAATTACTAATACACACTAATATTAATGTAATGCCTTTCAGGACACTCATCATTAATCTTTCCCTCCATACACCGTGGTGATAAACTACTACTGTAGCCATAGCTGCCCTGGGGCACACTGACAAAAGCAAGGCAACCAGTATGTGCCATCTTTCCCTCTCACCACCACCGGCCTTCATACCCTCCAAACTTATTCTAGGCAATGTGGCTGGAGTGTCTTGCCTGAGGACACAACTACAGTTTGGCACTTCACAGCCGCAGCCGCACCGCTGTGGCACCTGCTGTTCCCAGAGGTCTCCCATCACTCTACTAACCAGGCCTTGACCTGCGCAGCTTCAATGAATCTGGCTTTGGCATGCAAGTATGTCGAAGTATGTACTCATCTCTGTATGTGTGCAATTCAATTCAATTACATTTATTTTTGCATAGCCCTAAATCACTACAGTAGTTATCTAGGAAAACTTAACAAAACCGTTGATTTGCAAACACAGATGTTCAATACGTATTCAACGGTCAAGTAATCTTTGTATTGTCCGTTGTCCACAGTCCATAAAACACAATTACGTCTGACGAAAACCTCAATTAGTATCGTCCCTGACTTTAAACGGTAATCTTCCTAATTCTGGACTATAATTATTGTATTTCACTGCTGCATTTGAACCAGTTGCTAAGCGATGCTCCTACATATGAACCACTCTCACCAAGGTCTTTTAACGCCGTTGTGCGCGATTGCAAAGCTCAGAGTTCAAACAGACAATGTGTGTGTATAATTATGTAGTATGTACGTTTGTCTGTGTACGTGTGTGCGTGTGTGTGCGCGTGTGTGTGTGTGTGTCTGGTCACCTGCAGCGGGACGTTCCAGGCCATGTAGACGTGGCTCTTGTACTGGTCCATCCACACCTCTGCTGCCCTCAGTGCGTTGCGTCGCACGTGGACAGTCAGGTTGTGCGTGTACGGTTTGTGGGCACGCTCGATGTGGGCGATTCTGGAGCAGGGCAGGACCTCCACACTCCCCCCACACTGCCACACCTGCACACACACACACACACACACACACAACACGCCGCTAAAAGAGGGAGCACAATGCAGAGAGTTTGGTTTCAGTAGAAAAAGGGCTAAAGGAAAATCTAATAGCTCTGTTTGATCGGATGTGAAGTTACACTATGAACTCAAAATCATGAAATCAGTTAGTAGAGACCTTCTCCACCGACTCCCACTGATGTCGTTGTTTGCTGTTGTTGTGTCACTGGGCAAGACACTTAACCCCACTTTGCCTGATGCCTGAAAGATCAAGGAACAACACATATGGACTCAACTCCCGCAGGAGGATCAGGAGGACACAGCACTATCAGCTGTTGATCTCTAGAGCAGATTTCATAGCATACATTCCTGCTTCAGTGTGTTTATGTGAACAGCAGAGTGCCCATACAAGGAAGTGCAGGGAAATACACAGGACTTGTTTTTTTCTGTGATTGGGCGATTGGTGAGTATATGGACTTATTATCTTGACTCCATTGACTTTAAATAGGAATATTATTGGCAAAATAGAGTGGATTTACCAGAGTGCTTTGATCATCAGGTGAATTAAAACACTTGTTGTACTCTATCAGCTTAAGTGTTACAATACAACATGATAAACCTGCAGCTTATACACAAGTGCAGCCTATAAGTTGACTCAACCAACTTTCTTTCCAATTTAGCTGTTCCTGTTTATGTACAGATGAACTTGATAGTCCAGGAAGTACTGCAGATGCCTATTGGAGCAAGTATCTGTAATGAAATAAAAAAGATATCGACTAGATCTCGCTGAGGACCACATTACGCTCTTCTATAGAACGTACGGATTATTGTGTCCCGGGGGAAATGTATCATATTGGTTTTATCTGCACTCAGCCTCAAGTTTTTATGGTTTTACATCTTTAGTGCAAGAGTGTGTGTGGACGGAGGCATGGCTAAGACTGCTGTTTGGGATTATTCTGTTGGAGTGGGTTGATGGCTGAATGTTTTTCATTTATTTTTGTCCGCGCACATGTTTAAAAAGGACAATACAAATGACAGAGTATACAACAAACAGCTGAAAAGGGGTAGGCAGTGAGGGCCCGCCGCCTTTCAGAACGATTGGTTGAAGGTTAAAAGCAGCAATTACATACAAGAGAGTAATAAAAATAACATGGTAATGTATAAATCTATATTCTGAAGTACCTTGTGACGATTCATCTGTGAAGGACAAGTGTGATGTGGACTCGGACTGTGATGTGCCAGCGCCTGAGTGTGTGATGTGTTTGTCGAGCTGTAAAGCACTTGTGTTGCATTGTATGACAGCCTTTTCAAAAATGAATGTTACTGCAGTTGTTAGTTAAGTCTTGGTAGGAATGTTATAAACTGCACTTGCTGGACTCCTTTTGTTGATTTACTCTGAACCCTGCGGCATTTCTTTTGTATTTTGTAATTTTTATTTTTATTCCATTAGTCAGTGTTAGTTACTAGTGTATAGTTTGGAATAGAAAGAATTTATTTCAAACGTTAAGCAAATGAAAATAATACAAAACAACACGCATGATACAAAATACAAACAAAAAGGCTGAACGGAGCAGACGCACAAAGCACTTTAAATTATATTGCCTTTGTATTGTTTTAGTTGATCGATTTCACAGTGTCAATTGTTTCCTGTACTTTTAACCTTGTTTTATTTATGTACTTGTCTTGTGCACACTGGGGACATTTGCAAAAGTATTCCAATGTGGTTTTACTGCAAATAAAATTAATCAACACAACACACACGCTCGATACAAGCACGACACATGAAAAGACACAGGCCCAAACACTCTCTGACCACACACCTACTAAAGATAGGAAGAACCTTTATTGTTAGAATAGATTTGCCAGATTTGACCAGTGCTTTGATCAACATGAGTCGGCAGTTTGTTAAAACACCTCTTCAAACTTGCATCTTTTATATTTGCAGAAAAAAAACGTTCTTTTTAAATGTTGCTGGTGCTGTCATGAAGTGGAAATGAGGAGGAATAAGGACCCAAACAATAACAAAATGGTTTAATGATGAAAATTAAATAAAAGTCCAAGGTGGAAACAAAATCCAAATGAAACCCAGGGACCAGGAAAACAGACTGACAAGGACAGAGACAACACAATGGACCAGCAACAAGGGGAGAGGAGCACAGGATATTAATAGACACAAATACAGGTGAAACACATCAGGGCGGGGCAAACAATCAACACAAGGGAACAGGAAGTAAAACCTAAATGAAACCCACAGAACTAATGGCAAAATAAAACCAAATACAGAAATAAAATCCACACCATGGCAGGTGCAGTTTATATACAGGTACGCTTAGCTGTCCAGCAGGTATTGTATTTACAGAAATAGTCGATCTATATAAAAAGCACAGCCAAAGAGAGTCACTTCAACATCTGGAATGCATGTGGACAAACTTAAATTGATTGAGTTGTACAAATTGTGTGTTTTTGTGTAATTGAAGTCGTAAAACTGTATGTGTGTGTGTGTGTGTGTGTACGTTTAAGTTTGAGTTTGTTTGTTCTTGAAACCTTTTATAACAAAAAATACGGATCATAGAAATCATTTGTATGTATACGAAGGCCACATGTGATTTGACATTGATTATTATGTAGAAAGTTACATAAACATGGCATGGCATACAAATGGAATTTCATTGTAATTTGCATCTTTTTACCAGGACAAAGCCTTACCAGCTGTCACCAGAACATATTGTCTTGTTGCATATTTTCTGTTGAAACTGGTTGTTTTGCATCAACCCAAAGTAAAACTCAAACTAAAATTGCCAATTCTGTTCGGCAGCAGGCTGTGGAGGCAACAGTTGTAGAGCAGCACAGTGTTCCCGGCAAACAAAGTCCCCGCTTGTCAGTCTTGTATATAACGCACAACTGGATCTCGCCGTTGAGAGCGAGAGAGTACACGCCGAATACGCCGCCGCTTTGTGTGTCTAGTGTAATCCCGTGTCCTCTGGCTTCGTCCCGGCTGACAGTGGTGCTCACATCGAGGCATTGGGCCGAGCCAGGAGCTGCGCAAACACACACGCACACACACACACACACACACAATCCAGGCTGCGCGCCCCCCAAAAATACCTCCACGCCGCCATAAAGGATTAGTGTGCGCTATTCTTCGAGCGTAGCGGTGTGTGGAGCAGGTGGGTGTGCAGGGAGATACAGGCGCAGATGAAAGAGCTGCAGATTTACAGAGAAACAGGAGAAAAAAGTGACAGGGAGAGAGCAGAATGATGAATTGTGAGCCATACAGAAAAATATAATATGTCGAGCAGAACAGCAGACAAAAAAGGAAGCCTGCCTTTTGTTCGAGCCCAAATCAATTCCGCCTTTGTTCCAGAAATAATATGGTTATGTGCCGGATTTTTGATAAGGCGCTTGTGTCCATATGAGGTAAGTTGTTATGATTGAGGGAAATTTGCTGAACAAGGAAAAGTTTCAAAGTGGCAAACAGATTAGTGGGTTGTGTTCAGCAGTGGGTCATGAAAAACTGAGAGGCACAAATACAAGTAAGACACTGATTTAGAACATATACTTTTTGTTAAAGATCTTATTTATTTAAGTTGGTAGAGCATTGGTCTTTGGGCCTGAAGGTTGTGGGTTCGGTTGTGGGTTCGAGCTCATCCCGAGACCTACTTCACGACTCCCACTGATGTCTGCTGTTGTTGTGTCCTTGGGACACTTAACCAAGAAAATGGATGGATGGATGGACTTTTTGTTAAATATGTATCGGTAGTATGGGTAATATGGATAGTAGAACTTTGCCCTGCTATTAGGGCTGGGCGATATGGCTGAATACTATATCACAGTATAAGTAATTCACATCGGTCGATAGCGATATATATTGATTTTTATGTCGTGTCGGCTAAAACACGTCAGCAGCCCTTGTATACAGTCATGGGGGAATGAGGATAGAGGAATATGTTCACAAACACAGTGTCCCCCATTGTTAGTCCTGGTGTAATCCTGGTTTAGTCCTGTGCGGCCGCTCTCCGATAGCCGCAAGGAGGAAAAAGTTCATCTCATGCTTTCGCCGCATGCATCGGGTCTCCGTGTCCACTGCCTCTCCCGCGCCGCACATGCTATGCCTCGCACGGACATGCATAACCATTGACACGGCATTGAAAATTAGATCCATGGACGCTACGCATGGTGCGGTTGTTGTTTTTGCATTTCCCAGAAGGTTTTGCGGTTCATGCTTGGCTGTGATAGGTTGAGAAGCCTCTGCCTACATCCCCCAGAATGCCGTGCGCTTCTGACTCGGCTTTACTTCCTGTGTTTTCTTCCTGTTTTTTCTTACGGAGTGAAGTTGACCAATAGAACATTCTATCGACCTCTTTTCTATTGATATCAAACATGTGTCTATCGCAATATATATCGTTATCGTTTTATTGCCCAGCCCTAACTGCCAAATGTAACATAAATTTCCCCACTCTGAAATCAATAAAGTGTGTTATCTTATTGTAGTAAAAGAATAGTTCTAAAATTTAGTTTTTGCCCACACAAAATACATAGTGTTTAAAGGCACCTCCATGTTTCACAGTGTGTCTTGTGCTCGCTGAAAACATAATGTGTGTCCCATTTGTGTCAATGTCATTGTTCATCCAAACCTGCAAAATCAGGGACTGAGTTGATTATAAAATGTTACTCTTCGTTTTTAAAGCCCACAATGGTCTCGCCCCTCCGTAATTGTCCGAGCTTCTGACTGTTTGTGACTCAGGCAGATCATTGAGGTCATCAACTCAACTCCTCCTGGAAGAACCTAAGACCAGGACCGAACACTGGGGTGACCGGTCCTTCTCAGTCGCTGGACCCAGACTCTGGAACAAGCTGCCCCCTGACATCCGTGTCCTTACTGACTTTGGCCTGTTTAATTCGAGGCTCAAAATGTATTTATTCAGACTGGCTTTTAACACTCATTAGAGCGTTGGCATTTTTTTATTTTTTAACTGCATAGATGTAATAATAGATTTGATGTGATTATATTGTAAAACACTTTGGTCATCTTGTTAAAAGTTGCCTTGAGGTCAATTCAATTCAATCTATTTCTGTACAGCCCTTAGTCATAACAGTAGGAAGACTTTACAAAGTAGTCGATTTGCCAACTGCAGATTAGAGATTTGAACATTAGAACAGCATTAGAAGACAAAAAATGCTATATTAGGAAACACAAAGGCGGTCTATACAGGCGGGATGAGCACTGTCCATAAATGTTCATAAAATGTCACTGTCCGTAGACTCTCTCCTGCATCGGCGAGGAACCACTCTATACTTTACTCACAAACTGCAGATTTAACATTTAATTTTTGGATTTGGTTTATTTCTCTTGAGCCTTTAGAGCTGCTATCGTCTCTGCACTGGTCTTTCTACTAAAACTAAAAAAGACATCTAAATGGCCCGACCTAAGTTCAGTGTTAGTCTATCTGATTATCTCTGAAGGATAAAGACCTAATTACAGCAGCTGTGTGTCCCATTAGTACTCCTCTCACATGAGGACGGTTCAATAGATGAAGAGGATAATGACTGATAAAAGCCTTCCATCAGAGCAAAGGTCATTGTTTTGCTTATTCTTCCACTTTTGCGCTCTTGAAGGCGATTCAGTTCAGTCACTACGCTTTTTCAAAGGAGTTCCATGTTTTTGTTTTGTCTTATTAAAAACCCCATTATTTTAATAAGGGTGTTCATATTTTTTATCAAAGCCATTTGATAGTAACACGTTCAAAGTCTTAAAAGTACCACCATAAATTGTTTTAAGCATAATTCATACCCATCCCTTGACCCTCACACAACGGTATGTGTACAATCAGGTCGATTGATGATGTCATAGATGCGGTAGAGATTTGTTATTTGCTTGGATTTGTGTTTGTGACATGCTTTTGGAGACTAATTCCATAATTTATTCCCCCATGTTTTTCTGTTTTAGTGAAGCTGATATCAGAGAAAAAGCCACATATTGAAACATATAGTGGGGGGCCTCAAACTAAAGATTAATAAGCCCCGCCCATGCTCACCCCGGGAAGCTTCCTGATTAATCGAAATAAAATAAAATTCTCTTAACTCTTTGCCTCCAGACAATCTTACTGGATGTAGTTGTGCCAAGTGACAGGACGATTTTGAATATATCATTGGTGAAAGATTCTTAATGTTCATAAGTGTACAGTGTCCCATGGTCAAAAATATACACTTTAATGTGTAACCTCTCCATTAATATCAGATTTCCCCCGCTTCAAAATGCATGATGAGGTTAAAATTATAGAACGTTTTACACCAACTGTTAGAAATGACTTCTGTTTTGTTGAGTTGGGTGGAGTCAGCACTTTCTGGCATAAGCACGCTGCTTGTCACACTGGCTGCTCATCGATTCACCAACATAAGACCGATACATAACTCTTCGCCAGTTCGTCAGTTTACTTTAAAGTACAAACTTTCGAATCAATCTTTGCACTGTTTTTGAATATATATTTGTAATTGCTTATCTGCGCAAACCTCCAGCAATTCCAGTTTCAGCTCCAAATTACTCAATCATCACCTCCTGCTTTTTAATTCGGACCTATAACTTAACCTCTTATACTAACACTTGCATTTGCATTTTGCCTGTGCTGGTTTTTGAATCAGTCATCTAACAACCTCTCAGAATTGTGTGTATTCTAGGAAATAGAATACAGAAATGCAGACGGTGCTAAGAAAGTACCTTGTAGGTGTGAATATACAGTATCATACAGCAGAATATCTCCCCCTTGTGCTTAGTATATAATATTAGCAGCTGGAGTTATTGGACTTACCCTGATTCCCAGCTCCACATTCTCTCCTCCATAGATCTCCATTCCTTCATCCAGCAGTCCAATCTCCCCAAAGTACTTCCGGTCGACAACAAAGCAGCCAATCAAGGCTGGACTTCTAAATGCAAATGAAAAACAAACGGTGAAGTCATGGAAACAATAAATGGATTATTATGCAGTTCAATTTATCACATGACAATATGAGCCATAAATACTAAATGATTCTCATGGCCCACACGCTGGTACGGTGGCCCGAGGATCTATTTTCTAGCCATCTCTAAACACCCAGGCCTTTTATGATAAACCCATACAGTCCATTATACTTACAAATGACTTAGCTGTCAGATTGATGCTTTGGCTAGAAGCAGAAATTCAGCTCATTTTGAGAAGGAAAGTAAACAGATCTTTCATCAACATCAGTGGAAATAACTGGCATTAGCGCTCATACTGTCACTTTCACACATCAATATGAAGAACTGTGATGTGGAACAAACAGCTCTATTGCATAACAATGCATGAGCAAAGGGCGACGTGAAAAGTATTGGAAAAGGAAACAAATCCATTCAACGTGCTGATTTGTGTTGGTAATCTGGATCTCTCCGGGTTGAGAGATGATTCATCTTACTCCAGCCATCACAGGCCAACATACACAACATCTGTATGTGATGGCTACACTTTCTCACTTTCTCTACAATATAATAATAATAATAATAATACATATTTATTCCAGACTCAAGGTCCATATAAAAGACAATACACCACAAGATACACAAAGGAGGAGAAAGGGCCAGGCTTCTGTGGGCGGGAATAGCTGCTGGCAATTGGCCTGGGCAGTACATGAGTTAGGTTATGTTTCATTTGAAGAGGCCAATTTGTTTGTGTTTTTTCTTTCTAGGTTAACATTTACTTTCTGTAAAGTTTGTTTTGTTGTTTATGGCCAATAAAACCTTTATTTGGAAAGTTTAAGCCAAAAGGTCTCATCCAAAATAGTATACAGATGTGAGAAAATATATTTCGAGAAACATATTATAATCGCTGGGTGCAGCTCTGACTGCCATCCCCCCAACCCAGAAATGGATTAAGGGGAAGAAAATAGATGGATGGATATTATAATCGCCACTTTCCAGAAATATCTTTGATTTGATCTTACACTGGACACTGTATGTTAAACTGTATTTATTGTAATTTCTATCTACTCAGATCAATTCTATATATACAGTTTATTTTTTGCTAAAGCCCTAAATCAACACTTTAATTATCTCGGAGGACTGTTGATTTTCTGAGATCAGAGAATCAAACAGTTCAAACACAGGAAATGCTACAAAAGTTCTGCAGTTGGTTTCACTGGCACAGTGAGCATGAATCAACACTGTAACTTGTACCTGATTGGTGCGGTCTGGTTCCGCTGGGTCCACCAGGACTTGGGAGGGTTGAGGTATCGACACCAGAGCTCCCAGTCGAAGCCTTGTGCAGACAGAGGGTACTCCTCGATCTCAAATGAGTCGTATTTAATGTTGTCAAAAGAGGGAGACACAACTCGTGTGCGGTCCTCCTTTATCCGCTGGAGGATTGGCTCTGCCCTGCGGACGCACACGGAAAGAAGAGATTACTAATGCATCAATGCTTCAACTTATGAACATTTTAATCTTAGTTCCTCAAATGTTCCAATAAAAACAGTGACCCACCAGATACTGAAAAAAATGTGCACCAGACTTTGATGACATGACATCAAAGGGCTTCATCAAAGTTAGTCGCAATACTAAAGGAGAACATATTTTGTACTAAGCCAATAAAAAACTTGAAAAACAAAGGACAGAATAATAATGGCTTTATGTTACTGCACTTTTGGGACACACACAGCCATTTAAAGGCCCATTGCTACTGCGTTAAAGTGTGAACCATGAAATGCCTCATGATCACCCCCGAGTCTTTACCGGCCTGTGTAATAATTAAATCAAAGAGGAAACTTCAAGGCAGAGAGCATCCATCTTGCTCGCTAATTGTTCGTTAACACTAGACGGTAACTTTGCTGGCACTGGGAATTCTGCATAAAACATAAAACAAGGAGGGTCATTGAGGTAGAAAGATAATTAGTCTGAACTCCACATGAAAGGCTGCAGTCAAGGTAAAGGGCAAAGTTTTAGCACAGCAGGAGTCCAGGGTCAATTAGGTTCTTGCATCTTACACACAAAATTACTGAACATAGTCGATAATTGTATAATTATATATTTTCATATAAGACAAAATGCCAATATCAAGTCATACGACATTGTGTCATTAATATGTGATTCATCACATGTTGCACTTGCACTCATAAACCACAATGCATTGTGTTGCTCTGGAGATGGCTCTTTGGGGTCAGGCTGACATCCTTTTAGTCTCAAATTAATAATTAGGATTATTCACTGTTTGACTAAATATTAAAATATAAAGACATATTTTCCTATTTAGCAAAAAACAGACAGAAAATGACATCCAATCATTTGAGAAGAAAAGTGGCTTCCCTTAACAGCTCCATACGGCTGCAGGGTGAAGTCCACGTTGATAAAAACATCCATTATGATGATGTGATAGATAAAGCCCAATTAGTCAAACTAATTTAGTGATGTTGAGTGAATATGGATATGGCTGTGGTTGCGGTTTGTTAGTCTGGTCTTATTGGCTGGAAGCTCCTAGAGAGCCACATAAGAACCACCTCCTCGTCCTGTTCTTCTTTTGGAGCAGCTTCTCCTGCTGCTGCTCGATCATTGACATGGTTTCTTGCAGCAGGTCATTCTCCTGCCTCAGAGACCAGCTGTCTCCTGTGAGGAGGTCAGAGTGAGAGAAAGCTCCTCTATCTTCTGTTCAAGGACTGTCCTCCTCTGCTCCTCAGACTGCAACATGTCTGACAGAGTCTCTGCTTGAGCCACAGTAGTTTGGACTTCCTGCCGTTAACCCGTGGTCACGTCCTGCTGCTCCTGGATAGTCTGCTCCTGCTCTGGCACTCTGTGGCTGAGGTCTGTCACTGCAGACAGCAGCTGGAGCCTCTTTGTCTCTAACATGCCTATGTTATTTTTAGCCTCAGTGGTGCTCCTCTCTTCCTCCAGGGCAGATGTTAGAGAGGACACTTCCTTCTTCAGCTCCAGTGTCTCCTTCTCCAGTCTCTGCACGACACTCTGAGTCTCCACCAGAGTTGTCCTGTCTTCCTCCAGAGCAAAAGTCAGAGAAGAGACCTGATTCTCTAACCCCTGTGTCTGTGTCTCAAGCATTTTCACTTCACTTTGAGACTCCTCAAATCTGCTCTTTTCTGCATCCAAGGCTTAGAAAGGACACTTCACTCTTCAAGTCCTGTGCCTCTTTCTGCAGCAGGTCCACTACGCTGAGCTTCTGTGACATCATTCCTCTCCACTTCCAGAGCATATGTCAGAGAGGAGACATGGCTTCTCAGTTCATGTGTCTCTTTTACCAGCACCTGCTTTTTACCGTGGGCCTCCTTCACAGAGGAGTTTTCTTGAGCCAGCGCTGATTTATAAAAGGACACTTTGGCCTGAGCCTCCAGGGCAGAGCTCTTCTCCTCCTTCAGAGCAGATACTTTACTCTCAGCTTTGGCCCCTCTCTTCTTCTAGAGAGTAAATTCAGAGTGAATACTTCAGTCTTTAGCCTCTTATTGTCCATCTTCTATTCCTTTAGATTGTCTTCGGCAAACCTCAAATCCTGCTGCGAGTTCACATTGTGGCTCAGGAGTTCATTGTGCAGGTTCTTATTCTCTCTCTTCAGCATCTCCAGTTGCTCCTCAGACTCTGCCCTTTCTGGTCTGAAATGTAATATCTATCACAGGGGCTGGAGTTGGGTACATGTGGGACGGCGGGTTATAGGGGACCTTTTCTTGGTTTCTAGGAGTTTTATAACCGGCTTCCTGCTTTCTCTGCTGGTTACTGCTCATGAAGACGTGAGCCTCTGTGTGCTGACGTCTGCTCACGGAGACGTCAACACACAGTTTGCGTTTTAGAACAAACCAACTGTGTGTGAGTTACAACTGACCAACTGAGTGCTATATATGATCAATGCATTATTATGATTATTATTATTATTATTATAAGGTAAGTCGTTAAATTGTGAAAAATTGCCTAAGGATTGTTTTCCACTGTTTACAGCAGTCGTTGGAGAGGATTGTGGCACATTCAAAAAGCCCATCACTACAACACCAAACTGGAAATAGCCCACATGCCAGATTACTCCTACTTATGGAGATAATTATACAGATCAAGTGTTTTGAGCCTCTGAGGTAATTATACAGCAATTTCACAATGTCTACAAAAACATGCATGATAACGGCCAAGCTGTGGGAAATGGAATGGTGTTTATAAGTAGCAGTTCTAACGATAAGATTACAGTATGTAATGTAAAAGCATGGCACTAACTACTGTTATGGCAAGTTGGTTAGCCTCAAGGACGCCAACTCACCCCCCGCTGTTCTATTCAATTAACCTGCAGGAAGGAACCGGTCTCCCCCCCGCACCGACAGACATGACGCAAATTACTATCTCACCTTTGCCCCTTTTACATTCTGCATGTCTATTGTCCCTTCTGTTTGCATCTCCATGGCACAAAGATTGTCTCTCACCAGGCAAGGCGCCCCGCCATCTGGATGCCCGTCTCAAACTGTGACCCCTCCCACCTTTTGTGGGCGTGACTGTCTTTCATGTGTTGCCTATGTAAACGGGGACCTGGGACTGGCCCCGCCAGAGCTCACGATGCAAGACTGTATGTCGGCTCTCCGCATATATATGTGTAAAATAAATGTGTTTACATCTTTGATTTAAGACAAATACCTTTCCAGCTTTTTCCTTTATTGGGGTATGTAATTCCACAACAATTTGGCGTTGCTGACATGTCTTGGCCTGGGTTTTTTCGGCGGGGACGAGCGGTGCGTTCGGCCGACCTGGAACAAAACCAGCCTCCGCTCTATTTGGAGACGAAAGGAGGGCGCGCTCGTCCGGCGCATGAAAAGAATCTTTGGCCACACAAGACCAAAAAGAACCTGATTTGTGGTGAGTTTTGTCTTTTCAAACATGTAAAGCCCAGGGCAGCGCTTAAGTGTACACGGGTATTTGATTTATGTACGTATTTTGGGGTATTTTGTTCATTGCCATTTGTGTAGGGTATGAGATTTAAGCTAGCGGCTGCGTGTTAGTATTGCTCTGTAAGCAACCCTGAAACTCTTTGTGCCTTCAGCCAGGCCCGGTCCGTTTCAAGAATGCGCGCCCGTTAGGTGTATTGAACTAACGGGGGGGGAACGGATCGCTCCAGAGTGAGGAAGAGCAGGGAGAGACTAAGCGGGCTAGATCCATTTGTTCTTTAAGAGAAAATGGAGGGAAGTACACTAGAAAGGGAATGGCAATGGAAAAACGGTTGCAAATTATGTGCTGCTCATTCGGATCTTCCGGAGGGAGGTTTTTTTTATGTCCTTCAATCGATTACGCGTCTTGCGTGAAAATTAGAAGAAGGAAGGGAAATATTACTTGGTTTTAAGAATATCACGGCAAAAGACGTTAGAGAAAGAAATATGTAAAAACAATAGCTCCTCCGCTTTTCACCGAAGCGGAGAACACACAGGCGAACGCGTAAGGCGATCAGCCCCGAGAAATATTCCCCAAACTCCCCTACTAACAATAAGTGCGCACCCAAACAAGGCGTTGGGTTTTTAAAAAAGGAGCAGACTACTGTTGTCCCCTTTTCCTCTCCCTGTCCAGGTCTGTCGGCGCTTTCCTCCGCGCTCTGCCCTCCGCCTCAAAGCCCCAGCCCCCACGCCCCAACCACGGCGGCGACTCACAGAGTCTCTCGCACCAGCTGAAACCCCGCGAGAAGTGGGCCCAAACCCGGGAGCAGAAGAAGAAGCGGCGGAAGCAGATACACGCTCAGGAAACCGAAGCTCACGACTCACTCCGTGGACACATTATGTGAGACACCGACAACTGCTTTGGAGGCCAGAGACAAACTGCTCCAAATCCCGTGACTGTTGCCCCACGGAGGCGGCAGCGTGAAACACCAAACGCACCCGCTGAAACCCCGTTGAAAGTTGCCCCCGCACCGCAAACAGAAGAAGCCATTGGGACCGGCACGTTTGGTTATTAACCAACCCTCATGGACCACAGGCTAACATTATTTGAACGCTTTGGGCTACCTGGGCCTCCTGCGGACTTTGAGAAACTTCCACAGCCCGGCGGAAAGACTGTGTGCTCGACATGGGTCGAAGGACTGTTACCGGAGGAGGCGTTAAAGGCAGAGGACCTCTCAAGCTCACACGGGGCCAGAGGACGGCAGAGGCGGGCGTGGAGGAAACACGAGCGACTGATCAAACCCGGGTTCACATTCGTCACCAAAGCGACCGCTCATGTAAGTTTGAACAACAACAAATTGCAATTGGCACTTTTTAGAGATAATTCATGCTGAATTCCCGTAATATACGCTAACAATCTGTGGTGTAAAAGTTAAAATTCTGGATGATTCAGGGACAACAAATCCTGTGTTAAAACAAAACATAAGGTGACAGATTTTGGTCCTTTCTCAAATGAGTGGTCGCTTCACAAAACTCATGGCT